CTCTGTGTCCCCGAGACTGAGGTACATGCGTCCATGATATTCCTCGTCGGGGCCGCACTGTTTAGTCGAGGCGTCTTGGACTGGAAACAACTTACCACTGTGGTTCATACGTCTAACACTCGCATCCTTTCGAGCGTTGACACTTCTGGATCATGAAACGATACCAAAGCCTGCAGGCGTGAGCAGAAGCTATATCTTCGTACAAATCCCTATGTGGCAGCCCTCACACTTTGACTGCGACTTTGAATGGCCGCAGCATCATCTCGTTCGCAGGCTATTGACGCAACACTCGCATCTAATCCAAGTCCGAAGAGGCAATGGTTCTACTGATCAACCTTAGGCTACTTCTGAGCAGCTAGTAAACGACGAAGTTCAGTTCCTGTCCGATACTAAACCACCGGGTCAACGAGTTCCATCTTCTGTTGCGACTTCCTCGGCGATTCGGAGTGTGAGCAGGACATAAATACTCGGAGGATCGACTCGTATTTCCAGACCCTTCGAGCACCCTCACCCTCATCTCATCCTACTCTCAGCCAGCCTCACCGCACGTTCAGCATGCACTTCCCAGCACCGGAACCTTCCGCATCAGGAGTGGCGCGGGCTAAATTGCCGTAGAAGAACGCACAACAGACGGCGACAGGGTCAGATCCTCTGATAGGACCATGGCACAGTACAATCATCCAGAGCGAGCGGTAAGCTGCCCACTCCTTTGCCTTCGTTACAGCTCGCTCACTAGGGCGTTGCTTCGACAGATTTTCACGATCTCTGGGGATCGTGATGGAAATACAATCTACGACAAAGATAGAGGGCTTTACCTCGCTGGCGTATGCTCTGTTCCCAGTATGATCTCATGTGTGCGCGAGTTGACTTTAGTTCACAGAGCGGAAGCACGGTCCAGTGGAGCTCGAAGTCATTCGAATGGTCGCTCAATGGCATAGACAGCAGCATCACTTCTTGGGCGTGAGTTCTTGTTCGAAAACGTTGTGAAGCGATACAAGTGCTGACGAAGCACGGTCACTGGTACTAGTGTTGAGGGTCCGAAAGGATCCTACAAGACTTGGTACATCAACGCGTCCTCGGACCATACAGTGAGTCTTGGGCTCGAGAGGAAGTCCCAAACGACTCATAGCGCCAACGTTCACGGAGAGCTCTGCTGATTGCATTTTAATTTCGCAGGAATACTGGGCTAAGGACCATGGCAGAGGACCGTTTTACGATCAGTTCAGTTTTATAGCTGCTTAGAGTTGCGGTCAGTACCGGCACATAGTAGTGGTCATAAGTGACATCGCTGGTGGGCGTAAATACTTCCTAGCCTCCTGGAAAGATCAATGAACCGGCTCCGTTAGTCGACGCAGAGTTGGGTTGCCCAACTCTTCACGGGAGCTTCTTCGCAGCGCCCGCCTAGGGCAGAGGTTTCTACGCTTCGCATTGTTTTTCCCTTTGATTCGTCAAAATGATCGTCACTTTGTTAAACGTAATGTAGACGCTGCCACACTAGTTCCACCTTACAGCGTGGGTGTACGTGAACATGTTTCAACGTTTCATCGCTATATATACGAGGGAGAGACCGATATCGTTTCCCAAGGTCGCTGTACTTTTATTTACCCAATGAGACGAGCTACCATCTCCGTCTGAATCATGTGCTGTTGGCAACAGACTTTGAGTTCCGGCACCTCCATTCGTGTTTAGGGCCTCCTCCGGACTGCGCTGATTCCACCATACACTTCAGTGTATACGCTGACTGGATGCTGCCAAAAGCAACTCATTGCAAAGAGTTACAATCATCGGTGGCGCCGTGGCCATCTATACCTGGATGTCGGATATCGCGGGGATGATGAGCGCCGATCTACTCTGGAGTCTTGGGACCCCCATGGCTAGGAACGTTGTTTGAGCTCTTATATAGACTAGCATGGGCTAGCGCTGTCTGGTAATTGTCTGCTACCCACCCGTTCCTCACCTCCCGCCGCCAGTGCTATGGTTGATGTCAAGGTCGTAGCACCTATCCTCGCGCCGATCAGCATCGGGATGACTTTCAGCATCTTCATGTGCGGAATTCTCATGAGCCAGGTTTTCGTGTACACGCGAAGCTTTCCCAGAGACAGACCCTGGGTCAAGATCATGGTGAGCTCAATGTACTGCTTGTTCCAGCCCGGCATCCAGCAACTAGTGTTTGACGACATCGATGTTTCCTAGGTGTCTTGTATCAGGTACCAGCCCTCCTTTGACTACAGCGCCAAGACGTCGACTTAACGATGTCACAGCGTGATTTCCATCGTTCATACGTTTCTCATCGGTGCTGCCATCTTCGACATCGCTGTCACTTCTTTCGGCGACATCAAGCTTCTGGACCGAGCACCGCTCTCCTTGGAAATAGCAATAATGCTCTCCCTGTTCCTGGATATGATCTGCCAGGTAGGACGACAGCATTAAATCGTCTCATCGTGTCAATAACATATCCCTATCCAAGCTCTTCTACGCCGCACGCCTATGGAAGCTCTCTGGAAGTCACTGGATGTTCCTCGTCGCCCTAACTCTCGTCCTAGGCAAAGCCGTAACAGGCATGATCCTAGTCTCCCGCTGGCTCATGGTGCGCTCGATGGAAACTCTGCTGATTCGTTGGTCCTGGTCTCTGAATGTGACGCTGGCGCTGGCTACTGCTGGGGATACGTTTGTGTCGGTGTCGCTGAGTTGGATACTTTGGCGGAAGAGGGTCAATTCGGGGTTTACGAGGTGAGCTTGAGGCAGCCATCTCAAGCATTGTCTGCTAATAATGCGCGAAACAATAGCAATACTACGAAACTCATTGATCACCTCATCGAATGGACAGTCCGTACGTTCTTCTGAATCTGTCGATTAGCGATTCCAACTGAGAACCCTATGAAAAGAAACGGGACTGGTGATCGGGTATGACTTCTATCTCGCATCCACGCCATCTATCTGAACCATCTTCGACAGCGTCACGACAGTGACGACCAACATCGTCGTAAGTACCCCTGTGGGAAGTCGTGTGTCCAACCTTGAATTTCATATGGGCTCATCTGCATTTTACCACTAGTTCATCACGATGCAGCGTAATCGTGAGTCTCCCATCTTGTCTGTTCTACCAATCAGGCGGCCTCACCTCAACTTCGTTTTCTTCTACGTATCAGTGGCCTGGCTAGGAATACACATCCTACTCCCATCAGGTAATGGACTCTGGTTGCATTAGCACTATCGTGCATTAAACCCCAGTGATGCTGATCGTCATCTTCAGTGTACTCCAACTCCGTAATGATATGCCTCCATCGACGAACAGTCCTCAAGCGAGCCAGCGTAGACGACGACCCAAACCTCTTCACCTACTCTCAGGCTGTTCATCCAACGGCCCACCACGCGTCGGGTGGATACGAGCTATCAGCTGGGGCAAGTACATTCACAACGCATGTGCGCTCAGAGTGAATGACAATGTGCTTGATTGACAGAGACTCCATGTACGACCACAGTCCCTCATTTTCAAACCACCTCTTGCGAAGAGTCCGAACGGAGAGAATGTCGCTTTCAAGAGCTTCGACTCCGAGTGTTATACCCCTTCTACGAGTCAACTTTCGGACAGGATCTAAGGAAGTTAGTCTCGGCTGAGGGGAATGATAGATGTGACGGAACCGACTGCGGACACTGTAGATTACCAGTGTATTGATGCTTGCTTACTATGTATCGAGCCTCGTCTGCAGACCGAACGTTCGTTCGTAGCGCGGCTGAGATTAGTGGATCACTGAGGTAAGTCGCGAGACGGAACGAGACGAGCGAAGACGACAACTTCAGGTCCGAGAAAGAGCGCACGGCGACAGTATGTAACGTCGATGTCGGCAAGATCAAAGGGGAGTACAGTGTCAGCATTGGTATTAGTACAAACAAACAACAAGGAGCGGTCTGAAGCGTCAAGAGAGGAATACAGCACATGTACAGAAAGTCCGAGCAGAATGAGCTCACAGCTCTGCAAGCTGGTCCAGAACGTTGAGGCGATACTCATTCCGCCCATTGCCATCCTTCGTTAAAAGGATTTCGCGAACCTAGCACGAAACAAGGTCAACCCCGGTGCTTCAACCGAAAGTCGACGGAGTAACGATGCTTACCTCAGAAGGAGGTTTAAGCCCAAGAGTATTCGCTCTCTCCCAGCGTTCGAGACGAGTAAGACCGATGCTTGGGCCATATTCGTACGTCCTGCAAACAGAAGGCGCATATATCAGCATGGAAGCGCATATAGCGAGGGAAGAGCGACATACATATCGAACACCCTCAGCATCTGATGCAGGTCCGTCTCTTCGCCCTTGTGAACTGTGAGATTGAGGCACTGTCAGCTCCACAAGCTGGGCGAACCACAGAAGAAATGCAAAAGTCGCACCTTGTACCTCCGTCTCAGACACCTTTTGCGACTGCTTCACAGCCTTCCTCCACCGCTTATCGTTATCCTTCAACGGATAATCCTCCAACTCCAGCTTAGCCTCATCGACAATAACGACCGCATCGTCCTTTGCCGACATATTCGCCTTCAGCGAAGCCCTAGACCTCTTCGTCGGCACAGGAGACAGAGCAAGCACTGAGACGTCATCGCTGCCAGAGTTCACTGAGCTCGAGTCGGCTGGAGATGATGACGCTGAGTCTATCTCGATGCTCGAAGCCTTGCGCTTCACAGACTTGGGAGCGGGCGTCACTGGCGTGGTCGAGAGGGATTTCGTCCCCTTTACGTCCGGTTTGGCGTTAGTCGAGGCAACGCGCTTGGTGGATGAAAACCCTAGAGTGCCTTGCTTCATGGATGAGCTGCGGGCTGTCTTTGGCGGCATAATATCGAGTGAGAGTAAGGAGTTATTAGTACGAAGCGGTGGTGGTGGTGGTGGTGGTGGTGGTCAGAATTCTTGGAGTTGTGCTGGAGCGATGATGATGGGGATGACACTGAGAATGGTTTGGTTCAGTGGAGACACGTTGTGCCGGAATATATACAGCTAAGGCGCCTTGACTCTCACAGCATTGTGGCGCAGGGGTAGCGCGCAGGGCCCATAACCCTGAGGTCACTGGATCGAAACCAGTCGATGCTATGCTTAAAGTTGATAATTATTTTGTTTTTCCCTGCGGAACCTCCTGTTTTACCTCGTTGCACTTGCCCCTTAGCAGTTCACGATCTCAGGACTCCCTACGTTACCTCGAGCCGAACATATCCTATCTCCTTGATCCTAAGCCGCTGTCAGTTTATTTCCACTGTACACCACCCATCGCCTCCGCCGGCTTCTCCGCCATCGAGCTCTCCATGCCCGACATCCTAGACTTCGGCAATAACCAAGGTGACCAATCCAAGAAGGTCGAACCAGCAGACTATGACGCCCTTGTCACCGTAGCCAGCTCTATCATGTCCCTATGCGACGCCAAAGGTTTCAAAACTCTCATCCTCCAGCCCTTCGCCAACTTCGAAGGATGGCCCGACGGCTCTTCTGAGCGCTCGGATGCGTTCGCGCGTCTGAGAGGGTGCATGCGCATCATGGAGGCGGCGGGTACCGATATGCTTCAGGTTGGATCGACGGATACGCCTGCGGAGAAGGGGTTCCGGTGTGCGTATGAGAATTAGTGCTGGTCGACGCATGCGCCGGATTGGGAGGACGTGTGGGATATCTGTAAGAAGGTGGATAGGCCGAACTTTGGGCTGTGTTTGGATACGTTCCAGTGCGTCTCTCATTTCTTCATTTTGCTACTCGTCGCCTGAGACTTGATTTGCAGATCCGCCGGTGGTGAATGGGCGGACCCCACGATCGAGAGCGGCCTCGTCGAAGACAGTCGTAACGCCGAGCAAGTCGAGAAAGACTGGAAGACATTATGCGCAAAGCTCGCCAGAGCCATTCCAAAGGACAAGATCCTCTTCCTCCAGATCTCCGACGCCTACCGCATGCAACCGCCGCTCGCGAACCAAGCCGACGACAAAGGCATGCGCCCTCGAGCACGCTGGAGCGCCGCGTACAGGCCGCTGCCGTATCAGGGTTACTTGCCATGTGTGGATTTCGCGAGAGCGGTGTTGCAGACTGGGTTTAGGGATTGATTCTCGTATGAGGTGTTTGACCAGGGACAGGATGGAAAGGCTGCGAGGGGTGTTTTGAGGTTGGCGCTGGAACCAGGCTCTCAATTCCCAAGCAGTACACGACGATAGACATAAGTCATGCAATCCCAATATTTCCATACACCCCGTCAACATTCCCCAAGAATGCCTCAAGTTGTCCTGAAAGCGCACCTTCTGTGATTATGTCAAAGAAAGACATACCACCGTCAGGGCGAACGTTTAACATGGCCTCGCTGTTCTCGATCAAAGCTCTCCTCTCCTTCTCTGTAAACGTAGGGTTCATACTTCGGAGGCGCTCCTCCAAAGCTTGCTCTCCCAGAACAGCTGCTCCGGAGTGGTTCCAGAACGGAGCCCAAGCGGTCTGTAGTCGCCGAGCCAACTTACAAAACTGCTTATGAGGGCATGTTTGCATACTCCAGGCAGTGCGCTGGCAACTAGACGAGCCTAGCGTCATGTCCGTCAGTTCGATGACGGGTATTGGCGCCGGTTGCGAGAGCTCACAATAAGCAGCTAAACCGCAGCCACCGCATTTGGAAAACGGTCTGTAATACGGGGGTGGCTGTTTGCCTGCCAATCGACTGCTGGTGACCAAGGCGTTCCCAATGGAAGCGAACAGAGATAACACGAACCACACATGGGATTTGAGCATCCTATAATGAGCCTGTGCATGCCAATTGTGGTGAATGCGTTGAGATTGGAGTACGGGTCGGACTGCAGTGCTCGCAGAAGTCCACTGTCCGATTGTCCAAAGATCTCGTGCAGAGATTCCGCACTGGGAACGGGAAGAGACCAAGACTCCGAGTCATCCGGTGGTATGCTGTCGCGAATCGCTTGAGCGAGCGTCACCAACGTGCCCACGTCCTCTGTGTGTGATTTGTCTGCATACAACTTTGGCTCACACTCAACATGGTACATCCCTCTGTGGTCTCATCCGAACTCGCTTCTGACAATCTCTCAGGCGAACGTGATTTTTCCAATCTCCGCCACGGCTCCGTACTCCTCCGAAGCACTCGCAGCGCTGAAGACGAAGATCCTCGTCGAACGCAATGCGTATGGATTCGTGCTGTATCATAACGGGAAGTGGACGTTGAGATGCTGTGCGCAGATATACAACGAGGTGCGACCCAATATTCGTTCAGCTGTTGTCGAGCCCGGTCTAATTACGTGCGTTCGCAGTTGGAGGATTACGAGAAGATAGGAAAGCTGTTCCTGGAGGTGTGTCGGGAGGTTGAGGCTGAGTTTGGTGTTAAGGTGCAAGATTCCGGGTTCCTATGACTCTGAATAGGCCAACAGGGGCAGGCCATTATGACGTAGCTGTGTTTTCTTCACTACGATGTTCGTACATCCGTTCTGCCATGTTAAATAGCCACAACTAGCGCTAGGCGGAGGTGACATTTGTTCTTGTTTGGCTTCACTATTGTCATGGTCTGGTGACCTCTGGAAATTGAACAATCATATCACCCACCAAACACCACCAAACGTTCCCCAGACGCAAAGAGGGACTGCTGTCTCAGGCTCAGCGCTATCTATGGCCTCAGACTCTGAGCTTGAACTGTTTTCATCGCCCATTATTACTTTCACCAGCCTCTCATCCGTCTTTGCAACACGATCTGACTCCTTTTCTGCGGAGTAGTTGATGAACTTGAAGAGACCGCCCACCAATGCATTCTGCTTTCTACGCACACCTTGCAGGCGTACTGCGACCGCACAACCTTCCTCTCGGCACCTCTCTGTGCATTTGCTCTACGCAACGCGCTACAGCTCATTAACCGCATCTACACGGAAGAGGAGGACCCCCGACAGCTACGGAAACGCTACCCTGATCGTCAACGCGGTGTTCTCTTTCGCACTCATGCCCCGACGCGACGATGAGCTACCACAGATAGAATCCTCTCTGAACAGGTGCCGCTGCAAGACGGTCGGCTTCGGGGAGTACATCACTGCAGCACTGCGTTTCGTTCAAAAAGATTTCCCGGACCCCGACTACGGCCCAGGTCCTTACTCAAACTTCGCGTTTTGCTCGGGTTTGATCTTCACTACGGCAAGTGCTTTAATCAGGGGTTTGCACAGCACGACATTGAAGAATGTTGCTGGCCGGGCAGGGGAAGAAAGGCTGCAGGACAGAGGGGTCCAGAGGATGCACTTTTACCTGATCGGAGACGGCGCGAAAGACACCATCAGCTCCAGTCTCATGTGATACAAACGCACAAAACATCCGAGGATAACAAGCCTGGTCGTCACTTGCCTTGAGACGAAAGAATGATGGTTTGGTTCTCCAATCTTAGGCGTCACCGTTCGGCGTACTCCCAGCGCGATTTCATCCGTTTTGGCAGACTTCTAGTCGGCCATTTTCTTAGCGGAAGACTCTACGTGCAGTTCTATGGTATTTTTATGGTGAATGAGGTATTCTACAGCGCATATCGCACGGTTTTCTGATGTGCCCTTGAGACGATGTCCTTTTGGCATTGATTGATCAAATTTTGTCAATTTTGATCATTCTCAAGGTTTTCCGAAACGACAATAGTACAAACAAGAAACACTTACTGCACTACTCGGCACCGCATTAAGTAAACGGACTTTTGATGCGGATAATGGCGGGGCAAAAGTCGGGTTACTTTGTGTGGTACCGAGTACTTACTGCAGGCAGCGTAGCGGCATCCGTCTTTCTACTGATAGCTATATAACATCCCTCACTCGTCGCATTCACTACTCAAACACATGCAACACCTTGAACGTAACTCACGCAGCACCACACCCCAAGCTAACAATCAAACAATATGGGTATTGCTTATAATTATGTATGCTATACAAGTAGATAGGTGACAAACAAGGATATCCCTAGTTAGTGAAAAGAAGGCGAACAATGCGTCGCCAGAATGGTGCTGCCGCACGCTCAGCGCGATACTGTTCGAAAAAAGGTGGTCAGATCGGCGTACTCCAACAAGATGAGGGAAGAAAGGACACGCACAGCTCTCATCTCCTCGACGGTCAACCAACTCTTACGACCGGTCTGTAGAGAGGGCGAGCTCGTCAGTCATCAAGGTGAAGGGGAGAAGAGTGATGATGCTCACGTCGAGGTCCATCTCCAGAGCGCTCACGGGCGTGCCTCGCTTCCAGAAATACCCAGCAGCGTAGAACGCCAGCATGACAGGTGCAGCCATGTACGCCACTATAAAGTAACGTTAGAATACATCCATGCGGAGGTTGGGAGGTACACGTACTGAAGAAGCTCTGAGCGACTTCACCGGGGTCGTCCGACATGCCACCAATGGGCCAAAGAGCCTAGCGCGAACAAACAGCGATCAGTACTAGATTCCCTACGATACCTAGGTCACGACCACTTACCACGTAGAACTGAGCGATCAGCACCAGGACGATCAGGGTAAGACCGAGCCATGAGCCCTTGACACCTCCAAGGGCCTGGAATGGGAGTTCTTCGATGGAGTGGCCCTGGGCCTTCCAGCCGGCACGGAAACGAATGCTACGAGACGCAGAGATCAACGAACGGCTCGATCGAAGAGAAGAGAGGGGACGTACTGGCAGAGACAGATAGCTCCCCAGGTTACGAGGGTTGAGAGACCGGAGATAGCGACGAGCCAGTTGACTGAGCAGCGGTAAGTCAGTGTCAAAGATCGTATGAGATGAACGCATTGTGTTTACATATAGTTCCTCCCTCATCGGCAGTATCGATATAGGCAAGGGGAGCCCACGCGAGAATGAAGCAGAGAGACCAGAGCGGGCGGGAAGACTTGTCCACTGCAAAGCGCGTCAGCGAGAGACACGGACGCTCGTCCAACGAATGACTGACCGTAGGTGAAGACCTTGGGAGCAAAACCAGTCTCGGCGAGAGCGGTGAGGGTACGCGATCCGGCGTACACACAGGAGAGACCGATAGAAAGGACAGAGATACAGATAGTTGCGTTGACGAGATCTTTGGGACGGTTTAGCGACGTTCATGAAAGGTACATATGGAGGCAAACACGTACGGTCTAG